TCCCCCAAAATTTTCCCCGCGTAAATTAATAACTCGGAGTTCTGAGAAGCTAGAATCTTAAGGGGGTGTCCCCTGTGTAAGTGGGTGTTAACGAGTTCAAGCCCTGCCCGCGGGTAAACGTGGTACCTACGTACAGGCCTGTGAAAAGTTCCTTCCGGGTAAGTTAATTATTGGAGAACGTGAGAAGCTAGAAGATTGGAATTTTGAGGGGATTTTTCCTGACAGTTGTGGCGGCCAGTCTGAAATTCAGCTAGAAGCATCTGCCGAAAAACCGATGTCGGTAGCGACAAAAATCTGCGGGGAACTCTGCAAAAAACGCATCTTCGCACGGGCAGCCCGTGCGTTGGCCATTTTTTCGGTTTGCCATGCGCCTTCAGTTCCAAACATCCGATGTATGGTTTTAGCATAATAAGAGATAAAATTTGTGCACCACTCCCCGCTGCAATGTGTGAAGAATCGTTGGCAGCCAGCAGCAGTAATCCTTTTCTGAAATCAGTGTTAAATACTGAAAAGCTTAGCTAAGTAGCATTATTTAACAACTGTAGCTCCAAAAGATACTCGCACTATTTTTGAAAAGTGCCAGATTAATAGTTTCTTAAAATAATCAGGTCCTTTTTTTTAGGAAAAAATAGCCAAAATTCATTATAAAAATGTGTCCCAAAATCTCGAGTATTTCAGGTTCACAAAGATTTTTTATCTTTTTTTTTTAAGATGCTTTTTTTCAGAAATTTTTTATCTTTTTACTCCACTTTACGCTTTCCTGTTAGTACATATCTAGATTATCTATCAACCTGTTATGACGTTTTGATGCAGTTGCTGCGAAAAGTTGAACATTCGGCTGCGTAGCGAGACTTAGAACATTCTTGAGCACTTCTTCCGGATCCCTACAAAACATGCAACTTTGAGAAAAATTGAAAGCCGATCTCAACTCATTTAATTTTTTATGATAGATTGTGACTTCGAAATTTTAAAATTCCTCCTCGCCCTCTTCACTACTTTCTAAATTCAGAGTCAAAACCCCTTCAGCAAGAGGCGAAGACGAACGGGAATTAGCTTGAGTAGTAGCAAAAGCCAATAGCAACCACCTGCCGGCAAAGATAGTGATGGCTCCTTCTTTAAAGGGTTGCTTTCAAGCAAACTGATGGCAGATTTGACTCCCGGCATATGCTATTTATGATCGTTGGATTTTGACAGACTCCATGCATTGATGCCATAGGGCCGATCCAGGGGAGTGGGGGGTGATGAGACTTTTGAGTCTAAAGCTAAAACTAAAGTAAACCCCTTCGCCCCTCCTTCCACCAGGAATCCCACTCCTTTTTTCGCTGGTCGCCTCCCCCCCCCCCCCCCCCCCCCCCCCCCC